TGAGGCTTTGTTGCGCGCACGCACATGTATACACAACCACAAAGTGCAAAAAACTTAAATAATATTAAACAAAAAGGTATGAATCACCGTAATCTTATGAAAAAAAGCTATGTTAATTTTATGAGAAATCTTGTCATCTTTATTCTTTATACAAGATTTTGGAAGTTAGGCCATTTTAATTGACCATTTGAGCGCACTGACTAGTATAAGGCATTCCACATGCGATATATATCCTCAAATGAAAATTCAAATTGTTTTTTTTTTAAAGAAAAATTTCATTCGCGTTCGAAGTTTTCTTCTCATATTATGTTGTAAAAGCCTAGCCTTTGGCTTGAAAATAGAAAATGTCGGTCAAACACTGTAATGAATATTCGAGTTGAACGATGAGTGGACACACGGGCGACACGAAAAACAAGCGCTCTGTCAGGCAGCGAAGACAGCAATTACTGGTGGGGCGGACAAGCACTCAAGCAAACGAACACACAGGCAGACGGACAGATGGTTAGGCGGGCAAAGAGATGAATTTGTGGACTGGCAGATTGTCGGGCGGACAAATAGACTGGGTGGATGACGGGCAGATAGACTGGAGGACAATCAGATATTCAGACAGATTAGCGGGCAGAGTAGCTTTAGGGTAACCGATGAATGAAATAAGAGATGAAGAAGATTGTCAGGTGATATGGCGAATCAAGCGAAACGAACAAAATAATAAATCAAAGGACGAAAAAGTGACGGAAGAACTAACAGACGGAACTAAGTGTGGAATTGAATGACAGGCGGACATTCGCGTATTAGTCAAGGACGTAAACACTTTAGGAAGTCTCTGTTCAACGCTTCTACGGTATTACGGAATATAGAATACTACCGGAATTTACAAATACGCAAAAAAACGGTTAATTAATTTGAATTTGCGAATTTCAATATATATGTTATTGATGGAAAATTTGTAAAATCTGTTTTTTTTTTTTTTAAGAATTGAAATAATTTCATGCCTTTTACAGACTGATTTCCCAAGTCGATGACTTTGTTTGTTTACAATTTTATAAATATTTATATTCGTGTGCTTGTGTAGGCACAATTTATAAAATAATGTTACACATTCATATGAGAATACTATGGTTACTACTGTTCAAATATTGATACAACAAATGCATACAAAATATCTGCCTTTGTTTACAAAAAAAAAAACTTTTTTTTTGTTATTCGAGTGACCGACCTTCGGCATGATAACTCGGATACTTTTCAAAGAAGAAACGCTTTTACTTGTAAACTAATTAATACTATTTTTTTATATGTAAGTGTTATTTAGATTGGCATCAAAAGCATGCAAAAATCAGCACATTTCTGATACATTTTTTTGTTATATTTACTTTTTTGGTGCGGCTATTAACACGCGCGCAATAATTATACACAATTTAAGCTAAACTTCCAGCTGAACTAACTAATCTTATCATGAACGTCCACTTACGTCTACATCCTTCCTATTTCGCCTTTACCCAAACACTAAGTAGAAATCACGTCTATCACTGCTTATCGAATTTATGAATTCTTTTAAAAAATTCAGATACTTCGAAGGGTTTTAAAGTATAATCGATTTCTCGCAGCACATGTCGTCTTTTGAGAATTGTCCTTACAATATTCATTTGTTCACACCCATATTTATGTTCATGTTCATTATTCATTTTCACAATCCTATTTATGTTCATATTTATATTTTTATTCACATTAACATTCGTGCTCCTTTTAGCGTTCACATTCATTTGTTTTTGTATTTATGTTGTGTTCCTACTCGTTATGGTCGTCATGTTCACAGTCGTATGCATATTCATATGCGTATTCATGTTGATATTCTTATTCAGATTCATTTTTTATATTCACACTCTTTACTCCTATTCGTATTTATATTCATAATCGTATTCATATTCATAACCATATTCATACTCTTAGTGATATTCATTAAGTTATTCATATACTTATCCATTTTCATATTCTTATTCATATTATTCTTATTCGTATTCATATTCAGATTCATACTCTCGTTCATGTTCATATCCATAAGCAGACTCATGCACTTAGTCATATTCGAATTCATATTCTTATTCAGATTCGTGTTCTTGTGCATCTTCGTATTTTTATTCTTGTTTGTATTCTTATTCTTATTTTTATTCGCCTTCTTATTACTATTCATATTCCTGCTTATATTCAAAGTCATTAATTAGAAATTGACTTGATTCGCCGCCAAACATATTATTAATATATGAGAAGCTAAACAATCAAATATTAAAATATGTTTGTATCCACAAACCACAATCAAAAATTTAGCATCTAAATATTCACCACGTAATAGTGGTCTTAATCTGTTTATAAAACTTTTTATATAAGAAGAGTCCCTTGGGTTATTATTATATATTCACTTTAGCTGAGGCATATCCAAAGTTCGTTTTAAACCTAACAAAACTATGTTGCTTTCTTCTTGACTTTGTAATTCTATTCTATACCCGATGAGATAACGCGAACAGCGGTATAGGTCAGTTTATCCTGAACGACAATAACTGCTTCGAATAGCGATATGAGTCATAGTATATAATAAATTATATCTTTCACAACGTACCTAAATGGCATTTTAATGCAACATAACATAACATTCAACAACAAAACTTAAGCCATAGATATTGATTAAGAACTTATTCGCATTTGTTTGAAAATGTTTCGACATAAAGTGTAAAATGCACGTAACGGAAATAATTTCGGTTTAAAGTTTTGTATGCTTATGTTCCTAAATTTTATTAAATGCCACTTAAACGAAAGTTTAAAAATAAAAATTTTTGTAAAAATATCACAATCATATTTTTAGGCAAAGCATATTTTTAAAATAAAAGCGCACTTATCTAAATAACGAATTTCGAAAATAAACGCAAACGAAACTAAATTCGTAGAAAAGAAAAAATCGAAGTGAAAATAATTTCCTTA